CAGCTGCCTAAACACTATCCTTCTGTCCTTGTCGCAGGGAACAGACAGTAACGAAATTGAAGCATTGCATATCAGTGGAAAATACGGTGAGATTGTCCACCGCTACGGTAGCCTGAAGTCTTTTCATCAACCTAAAAAGGGACGGCAGACAAGGCTTCGGTCGATTATTATAAAATCCTGACTGGTATTTTTAACCATGTATGAATGCTAAGCTCCTTGGTGGAAGTTGCCGTTGTTCAGCCGGATGGCAAATGAGCTCTCCTCGATGGAAGTCAGTGTCCGCCCGATTCATCAGCAGGCTCCTGCTCACATTAAAGTAACTTAGCAGCTTTAGAGTATTTTACGTCTTTCTTTCTCCAAGGAGACAGAACATGAAAGGACAAACAGCCAAATGAAATATAAACTCAAACTACGGGGACTCAGGCTTTTACCAGGTTCCCAGTTTCGATCAGTTTCACTCTTTCAAAATTGTCGAATGGTATTAGTTACCGTTGTTCATCTTGAATCCGCAGTCATTTCCACGTTTCCAATTGGTAAACTTTCTTTCGTCTTTTTGTAAGAACATTCAATGACGAAGAAATGACATAATTCATTTGTAGAATGAGAATTTGTATTAACTGTTGTCAAGCTACAGTCAGGTTAGCGTTTCCCCTGCCCTTTACCTGCGGTGAGAAGACGTCATTCATTTCAGATGACCTCTGGTGATGTTGCATGCATAATAAGTTGATTTGTGAGACCTTGCAGTAATATCGATTGCAAAATTGTACAAATTCCTGCCTGTACAGTTATGGTGCTTCTACTTACTGGAAGAAGACTAAAAAGACTTATTATAAAGCCAAGTCCCACTGACAGTTAAAATATGCCTGTTATGCGTGCTGATATTTAATAATATTATAGCAGGTCAATGACCATCATGTTGTAGCAACGGGGCGTTTGGCAAAACGGCCTTGTACATGCGATCATGTGATGCATAAAAAAGACCCCACGGTATGTGGCTATCGCTCAGCGTTGACAGGATCTCCTGTTCGGCAATGACACCGTGTATCCGCGATTCGACAGACTTCAGTAAGCCAGAAACTCTACGAAAGTGCCAGTTCGGTGCTACTGGAGGAGAGAAAACACAAAACAGTTTCCTTTGGTTCTGGTCAATTGATCGTTCATTTTTCAGCGTCATCTTTAGCCACTTTACGAATCTAAAGGCTCCTTAAGACTCTCGAAATCCGCGTCTTTCAACGCTTCGCACTTTGACATCAAGGTATTTTCACTGCATAGAAGTTCCTTAGCCACAGCTAATCTCCTCGCCTCGCATAATGTGCTATCTGACGGTACTTCCTCAAAAGTATTTCGGTTCAAACGTAAACTAATAACGATAACGAATGAATCAGCGAGATTTCCCTAACTCCATGCCGACCTTCTGTCTCTAAGTCCCTCCGGTCTGTCTGTGAGGTTAGCAAAGACTAAGGCGAGGTCTTACCATTTGATTTTCAGGCAGTAGTCGTAACCAGCGCTGTTGAAGGGAATTAAGCCGACGTTTGTAAGCTCCTCTGAGCGTTGCTGTTTCCAGTCCGTACGGCAAAATTGATTCATCTCCTGCTCCGTTGATCCTAGTGCTATCACATCTTGATAGACATCGTTGTTTCCTTTCCACGTGAGATTGCAAGAGGCTTAGGAGGGTGAAATGCGATCGCAGCGCCTTTACGTGAAACACTTCCATAAGGGCATCAGGTCGCTGTTTCTGTATGAAGAAGATTTTCAAGACACTGAAGGAATGAACTTTCACGGTGCAATCCTTCGCTTCCCTTGAAACATTTCTTATCGTTGCGAAACCATTTCGTGCCAAAAAATCTTTACCGTTGCTCAAGTTAATTATGCACATCGTTCATTGCCTCATTTCAACCGTAATCATACCTCAGATGCATGGGAATGATCCAACCGGCTATGACGCTTATTGAGTCTTGATGGTCTTAATGAACGTATCCGGATTTTTATGCAGTTTTGCTATGATACGACAAGCTTAAGTAAATCCTTAATTCATTATCGTTTGTCACGGGGGAGGGAGGGACATAAGTGCAGATCGACGTTCCTTCGGTACTCTCTGTTCTCTGCCTCCATTGATGACGAAGCAACTGATCATCGGATCATCTCAGAGTTCTTGAATGACCGAGTGGACACTTTTGGTCAAACAGAATCAAATTTATTATTATTGGAATCCACCTTTGCCTCTCAAGTGATCTGAATAGCCGTCCATCTTCTCTTGATGTCGCAGAAGGCAGAAATTATGTCTGCTAATCCAGTTGGTTGCCGAATTGAAAAGGTGTAATTGAAATAAATATCTCCTAATATGCACAAATCGCTTTTTTGACTACGATTAGTCGCTTTTTCTATAGATCATACATTCTACCAGAAAAAAACTTTTTTATTTTTTATAATTGAATATAACATTTTTACATATTTATCTCCTTTTTTTTCTAGAATTTTTTATCCAAAAGATTAGCGCTGTTTAACCATGAACAAATGCAACATTGATGAAAACGGGAATTGCGTCGCATTAACTAGCAATGTATATTTTCGACAGTCTGATGTAGCGAAAGCGCCTAAAGCGACTTCCGTTTAGACGAACGACATATCACATTTGAATACAAAAT